AGTGGTTCTGCGGTCCATGGTCAGCATCACAGCAACCCCTGTCTATTGCGTACAGGGAGCTCTTTCCCATTGTTGTGGCTGCATACTTATGGGGTCCTCAGTGGTCTTCTAGGCGGGTCGAGTTCCTGTGTGACAATGAGTCGGTGGTGGCTGTTCTGTCTTCTGGTACCTTCCGGGACTCTAAATTAATGTTTTTGATGCATTTTTTAGCATTGTTGGCAGTGCGCCGTTCGTTTTCCTTTAAGGCCTCATCTGTTACCGACACTCTTTTACATTTTCAGTTTCAAAGATTCAGACGCCTGGCCCCTTGGGTGGGCCTTGCTGCGGCCCCAGGTCCTCTGGATCTCCTCAAAGCCCTGCTTGTCACTTGCCCTTTCTTCAACTCACCCGGGGCCTCCGTCCGGGGCTCCCAGGGCCACGTCGTGCTCTGGGCGGCATGCTGCCTTGGTTTCTTTGGTTTCTTGCATGCTGATGGGTTTGCAGCTAACTCTCTGTTTGATCCAAGCGTTGGCCTGGGGGTTAGTGATGTGCAGGCCAATACCCTGCAGGTGCTTGAGGACGGATCTTTTTCGCGTTGGCTGCTGCCTCTGCATCGGTCAGCGCAGTAATGTCGTCTCCCCTTTGGTAGCTCTGGGCAATTTCTTGGCTGTGTGTGGCCCTTCCCCAGGGCCATTGTTTTGTTTTGCTGATGGTCGTCCCTTAACACGCCAACTGCTGTCTTTGGTAGGCTGCTCGGGTAGTTGCTCTGGCCATAGCTTCCGGATTAGTGCTGCCACTACAGCACCTTCCTGGGGACTGCCAGATCACCTGATTAAGACTTGAGGTCGCTGGTCTAGTGGCGTTTGTCAGCACTGTGTCTGCACATCGGCTGGCTCTCTTGGCGGGCTGGTGTATCAGCGTAGCAGGTTTGGCGTTTATGAGTTTTCTTTTACTTGGGTTGGGTGCCTCAGGTCTGGCCCCTTGGGAGCTGTGGCTTATGGGCCATGAGCCCCCATCTCTCCAGTCTGGGTCAGCCTAGAGGCCCTTTTGGCAGGGGAGGTGGGGATTGTGGCTGGGTTGCAGGGAAGGGCAGGCTTTTGAGATGCTCTTGCTACCTGAGTTTGGGGTGGGCAGCTCCAGCCCCCAGGTTCCTGGGCACCCAACCTCCCTGTGTGACTCGCGCATTAAATGAGGTTAAATATACTTATTTAACTTAGTTAACGACAAGGAGCATGTTGCTCAGTAGTTGGCGTGGCGTTGGCATGGCATTGGCATTTATTAGCGTTTTTGGTGGCATGATGTGGCATTTGGTTTGTTGCTTGGGTTTGCGTTACTGTAGTAGGCCTGGTGCGGAGCAGTTTCCTGTGCCCCCGGGTCAGTGGTTTATTGTTGCAATTTATCCATGTGCCTTTACATGTGGTTGTAGTTTTTACTGTGCGAAGTCTTCGGGGCATCTTGATCAGTTTTAGAGTTTCTTTAGTGTTTGCTCCCATCCTCCTCACCCTTTGTTATTATTACCTTATTTATTATTACTGAATTAGTATGTTTATTGTTTATTTTGTTATTTATTATTATTGTTATTATTGTTATTATTATTATTATTATTTTTATTGTTTGTTATTGTTATTATTTTTATTATTTCCTCTGAGCTCCTGGCTTTGTGTGACAGGTGCTTACCCTGGGGCTGGGTATGAGGAATTCATAAAAAAAGGCTGACATTTTAAATTTTTATATCGTGCTTGAGTAGGATGCAATTTCATTTTGAACACTGTTTTCATAAATCTAGACATACTGTGTATACAGTAAACTGGATGCTAATTTGTCAGCAGAATTGAATAATTTTACTAAGCTGATACTGATAAAAACATATTTTTTCTTGTCTATTCTTATCCACTTTAGAGATACTCAAGAATCAAGCTTTTGCTGCATACATGTAAAGTTCTCATTTATTACTGATGGTGTGGTGAGTAGTTCAATATATATATTAGTTATTTCCCTGATCTACTGTCATTTTAGCAATAGAATTTAATTGGGTGCAACTTGAAGTGTTTAAATGTTACTACAAGGAAAATCACATCTTTCTTATCAAGGCCATTTTAAAACATAGACAAGTAATCTGTACGAGAAACAAAATGCTGTTTACTACTACTAAATATCTCTTTTATGAAGAAAGATATCTCAGCCAATACATTCTTTTCAGGAAGACTTTACTAGAGGTGCTTCACAACATGAGCTTAACATTTTTGTTACCATGGCAACATACTGGGTTCCAGGCCTCCCCAATATTAAAGACTTTTCTGGTCACCTTGAACTTCCCATATTGATATTTGGCAATGGTGCCTCATCTGCATGATCCAGCAAGCATATAACTACATAAAGTCATTTGTTAGGTGGAGTTAGAGGGGACTGGAAAGAGTGGGTTGCTATGGGAGTGGAAATTTTTATTAATAGCCTTAGGTGTGTTGCATGTACAGTTTCAATAGGTTCCGCTGCAAATTGACTGAGATAGCTTTATTTATAGCAGAGCTCTGGGAACCCCATACTCATATACATGTACATGTAGGAAAGATTTGTAAAGGGCTTAAAATCACTGCAAATGTTGGAAAGAGCAAGAAAAGGATTACAAGAGAGTGGAGGAATAAAAAAGGTGGCCTCCTTTATTTGCATTTTGCCCACACGCTTGCTTATGGCCTGGTTTGCTGTAATTTTGCACCCACCCTCCATCTGGATATTGCTTATTGACAAGTTGATTTTACTGATCATGTACATGTAGAGGAGGAAAATTAGCCAATTTTAAAGTGATAAATATTTTTGCCAAAAAGCTGGTGTGTGATAAATTAAAGTTGTCAGATGTGAAAAATGGCTTGTGAGGACTGTTTGTCACATAAAATGTGGCAAATATGTTCATTAGCACCATATTTAACACCTCCGCCTTGCTGTCCAAGCAAAGACACACTAAACTTTGACTTGTTCACACTGTGACATAAGACAACACAATTAAATACACCTGCAAATTTGTCACATCAAAATTGTCACATCAAAAATTGCTTGTGTAGACCAGGCTTACATGTATTACTGCTCATAACATTCCATTTATGCAACATGTAATCTGTCAACATGAAGGCATAAATTTATTTAAATCAGGTTCGCACTCTTGCAGTTAATATTCCATGGTTCCTGTCAAATAATTTTTGTTACAAAACGAGACATTACAAACTGTATGACCTTTCATTAATTAGCAGTTTTGCTTTGTTACTGTTTAGAACTGATATTGGCAAAGCAGATCATCACAATGTCTAAAGCTGCAACCAACGCTAGCAGCAGTTCAGAGGATGATGGTAATGACGGCTGCAATTGTCAAGTTATTTATGATAAGGATGGATGGTTTTCTCGTGCAGATTACATTTTATTATAAATTATAGACATGTAAATCAGACCTAATTTCACCACAGGATGCAAAAAGTAGATGCAGAAATCTCCAAAGCTAAAGCCATAATTCTCCTCATAAACACTTTCTGTATGAGAATGGCCCCACATGTGACATGTCCTGTACATTCCCAGGGAGACCCTAGAGGCAGAGCCTGTCTCTAACTGATTACTAAGCTGTTTTAGTAGTTCAGAAATTACATTGTAGTTTAATGGGGACAAATGACAACACTGTGCCCAGCCTCTCTGCTTTCAACCAGCATGACCCCAAAGCAATCAACTGTATCACATCAGTCCTTGGGTACTGTTCCACCATTTTCCAGTGCAGGAGTGGAACTGCGTCAGAAAACTACCCCCATTTCAAGACCTGTTTTTATCAGGGTGTGGGGGAACATAAGATATAAAAACAACCCTTGATAATTCTGCGGATAGGGGCATTCATGAAACACGCAGTGGAAAAATGGAAATGTCAAAGGGGTTAAAGAATTAAACATTTCAAGACCTATTTTTATCAGAGGGTGGGGGAGCTTTAGATATAAAACACCCTTTAATAATTCTGAAGATAGGGGCATTCATGAAACACCCACTGTAAATATAGAAATTTCAGTGGGACAAGAAACATAGAAACCCAATCCAACCATTAAAAGTTAAACAGTATTTTGTTGAACCATTAGATTGCACTTTTGAAACCAGTGCAAGGCAGTCAGCTGAATATCTCGATTACTTTTATTTATAAATAATATATTAATAGACTAAAAGGCCATTGATTATTCATGAGGATCTATATTTGTTCTACCATGGCCAGGAAATGTTGAAATCTATACAAATGTATGCTTAAGTTAACTTGGGCCACCGATATGTCATTCTGATGTTATTATCACTTTGATATGTAAGAAAACTGCATCACTGGTTAACTGGAAGTTTCTCCTCTTTCACATATAGTTGCTTTTAAAGAAGGCAAACCTGATGACCTTGAACTAGATGAGCTGGCGGGAAAGATTGCTGCAAAGTGGCAGGAGCTAGGACTTCACCTTGGCATTTGTCAGGATGTACTGGACGAAATACAGGCTAATCAAGAAAGAAAACCAT